TTTTCATTTATTTTCACTCAATTGCCGGTTCTTAGGCATGCTTCAGAGAGTTGAGTTTGCTGGATCAGCAGCATCTCAAAGAGTGAGTAAAAAAGTGATTGAAAAATCCTATTTTCACTCAGAATCACGGGATTTCATAGTTGGAAACAATCTCCGAAGCCCTCTAATCCAATCTGCACCAGAATAGAACTGTTTTCTACAATATAGCCAACAAGCGGTCACCCAGCTTCTGTTTGAGAAACTCTAGTGAAGGAATATCCACTATTTCTGGTAGCAGTACATCCCCTATCATGACAACTCTAACTTGGGAAGAAGTGTTTCATTCATATCTCTGCCCTGTATGGCCAAGCCTAGTCACTCTTCCCAAGAAAGACTTTCAAATACTTCAAGACATTTATCATGCCCTCCCCTCCATCTCTTGATGCCCCAACCGACTCACATATAGCATGATCTTGAAGCCCTTCAGGGGTGTGCTGGAACCTCATAAGAGCTGATTCTTAAATTTTCAATTTCAGTCTTTACACCTCAGAAATTGTCAAATGTGACAAATGAAGACTTAATATACTGTTTTGTTGTTTTACACAACAAATCCTTTTGTTAGGGGGATTTCTTCTATGAAGTTTGGATTCAGTCAAAGGGCTACACTCGAGGACCTAGAGGGCTACATGTGGTCTTGAGGCTGCAGGTTCCCTACCCCTGGTCTTAAGAAAGTGATGGAGAATATATTAAAGATTCAGATTAAACATAAAAGTGTATCCCTTGTATTTTTTTTTTCATTGTCCTTGGCCCTACGGCTTGCCCACTTCTGGACACTCTCCAAATTATCAACATTATTCTGAAAATGTGTTGCCCAGGACTGCCTTCAATAATCCAGACATGGTCTGACCAAGGAAGACTAACAAGATTAATGCCTCCTGAGTCCTAGAAACTAGATGTTCCTTAATGCAGCCTAAGATCACGCCAGACTTCTTGACTGCCACTTTATACTGCTGACTCATGCAGTCCACAAAAAGCCTTAAATCTTTTTTTTTTCTGTGAACTGCTGTCTGAGTATGCTGCCTTCATCTTACATTTGTGAAAATGAGGTTTTTATTATTTTTATTTTAACCCAAGTGTAAGACTATATGTTTATCTCTACTAATTTCATTTTGTTTGATTGGACCTAGTGTGTTAGCTTTTGGAACTTACTGAATTCTGTATCTATCACCCAGTCAGTGCCTTAGCTATTTCTCCAAGTCTTGTGTCATCTGCAGATTTTATGAGTATGTCAAGTATAACTTCACCCAAATTACTGATAAGAAGGTTAAATAGCAGAAGGCCAAAAAGAAACAGTTGGGGCACTCTACAAGAAACTTCTTTCTAAACTTACATGGAAAAAGTAATGACAACTCTTTGGATTTGATCCCTTCATCCAGTTCTTAATCTACCTAACTGAATTATTATCTACCCCACATCTCTCCATTTTCTTCTGAAAAAATAATATGAAAGATTTTGTCAAAAGTTTCACTAAATTCTAAGAAAACTATCTGTACAATATTCCTCTCATCTAACTAATGATCCTGACATAAAAGGAAATCCAGTCTCTATTTTTAAACCCAGAAAAAGAAGAAAAGCTAAGGAAGAAATGTCAATATTCCCAATATTCCTGCTTCTGTGCTATAAAGATAATAACTGTTCTTCAACTTGAGAGTGCCTTCTCCTGAATATATGATTTCATGGATTGCTTTGGCCAAAAAATTCATCACCTAAGTGGCCAACTCTTGAGTGATTAGCTGTTATGAATTTAGCTAGGCTGGTCCACAGACAATAGACATAGAGCCTATATCTAGGCCCATAACCAAAGCCTTTCCAGATTTGTAAGACCTGCCAAAGCATTTGCACCAATGGCATTGGCTTTAAGAACCAAGAGTCACATTCTCATCATGATGAGGAATACAGACGAACAAATCAGTGGAAGATTGTATTTCATAATCAGTAACATTTCCAAAAGCAAATGATTCTCCATAAAACAATGAAGTTCAAATATGTTTACTTTTAAATATGAAAAAATGCTAATGTGTGTAAACCATAGATTTTTTTTCTCAGACAGCTGCATTCTCCCTTCCCAATAAAAAAGTGTATCTCTGTAAAAAGCTTTTTAGGTGGCCTTGAGTGGTCTAATTAGGATATCTTCACCTTAAGAATTGGGTATAAAACTCCGGTATGACTTGGCATAATTCCCTGTGACTAAGAATAAAAGTACCAAAGGAAACATGGTCAGGAATGGGCCAAGGATGCTGCCAGGATATGTTACTAGCCAGAGCTGAAACTCTCCAGCCTACATGCTTTCTTACCTCCTTATTAGGAGATTTTACCTGTATGTCTAGGTCAAATTCTAATTCAGTAATTTCCCCCATTGCTGATATCCCCCTCCACTTAGCATTGCCCTACAAGACCAGAAGGTTATGATGCTAATGTTCCTATTCACAAGAAGGGGGTGATGGAGCTAAATTATTTCTACACTAAAAGAAATTGCTAGTTTCACAGTAACTCCATTTCATTAATGGTAGATGAAATTCTCTTCCTGTAAGATGTTGAGAAGCTTCCAAACATTTAGAATTCAGTAATACAATTGCCAGAGTTTCATAAAAGAGGAATTTGTTCCAAAGGTTTACTCCCCCAAGACTCCAAAATTAAAACACGCACTAGAACTTTTTGCAATATTCTGATCTACAAGTATGTATAGAAGAGTAAGTGAGAACTTGAAAAGACCTTAGCTTAAAAGGACCAAGGTCTCCCCACTGCATTCTGGGCCATCTCCAGTCATCTTGATGAATATATGGCCACTAGACCAAGATGACTGTGGAGGAGAAAGTGAGGCTGGTGATTTTGCACTGCCCTCCCTCACTCAAATCAAAGTCAATTTCAAGTTATGTCATCATCTCCCTGATGTCATGGTCCTCTTCAAGAACAAAGAACAAACCACAACCACAAAGTCTATGCAATTACTGTTATTTTTTTTCTTTTGTAAAGTATGAGGTCAATTAACCATATTCTGACTTTCTGACATTCAAATTCTATCATTCTAGAGCAGAATATTGGCATTTCTGCCTGAATCCATGAGCTGGAAGATTTGGACAGATTTTGGTGACCTGAGTCTGCATCTCAGCACTATTATACACTATCTGCATAGCCATGGGGCTGCTGGGAGGCTCAGTAGATAGAGATTCAGTGGTCCTGAGATCAGGAAGACTGGTGTTCAATTTGGCCTCAGTTGTGAGACTCTGGACAAGCCATTACACCTCAGCCTCATTTCTTCAGCTGTAAAACAGTGAAGATCATTGTGCCTACCTCCCAAGCTTGCCATGAAGATCAAATGAGATAAGTATTTGTAAAGTGCTCACAGAGCCTGGCTTGTAACAGGTTTAATAAAATACTTTTTCCTTCCACAGGCAGGTTCCATCCTTTTCAGATCTCCCTTTCCTGCTCTGTAAAATGAAGGGGCTAGATTAAATGAGCACTAAGGCTCCTGTGATCTTTACAGTCTCTGGCTTAAACCATGTCATTCCATGGATTCATTTTTCCTTGCTCCATAGCACATTTAGTTCTTCAGTATTGAAACTTGCTCTGACTCTGCCTTTATTTACCCTTCACTCAAATGAGGATTGTTTAAGTTCACAGGACAGTGTAGCAATGTGTCCATATCTAAGCATTTTTTATTGGCTGCATCCCATTCATAGTGGCCCCAGAGATTTAAAAGCACAGCAACATCAATCAGACCACTACACAATTTAACAGAGGCTGGTAAACTCTTAGAGGTTAAAGACCATGTCTTCTTTATGCTCTGGAAAGTTCCACTAGTACCTAATAAACTCAATAAATATTGATGCTAAAAAATAGCTTGTAAACATAACTGTCCATGTCATCCTGCAGGCATAAAAATATACACTCAGACTCTAAGCCCTCAAAGGAGTTTACAATGTAATTTAATTTGCTGCGTATACCACCTCATACACTAGAGCATGTAGACTGACAAATCATTGAATTTTAGAGCTGAATGGACCTCAGTGGCCATCTGGTGTAGCCCATACTATACACAAAAGAAACCCCCAAAATCACAGACCTAACAAATGGTCACCCAACCTCTGCTTGACCACCACTTAAGAGGAGGAGCCAGGGCAGTTAGGTGGTGCAGTAGATAGAGCATTGGCCCTGGAGTCAGGAGGACCTGAGTTCAAATCTGGCCTCAGACACTTACTAGCTATGTGACCCTGAACAAGTTACCTAAACCTAGTTGCCTTTAAAAAAAAAAAAGGAGGAACCTGCCCACTCTAGATGACTCATTCTACTTTTGGATACCTCTAATTGCTAGGAAGTGTTTCCTAACATGAAGCCAAAATGTCCCCTCTGCAACCACTATCCATTGCTCCTGGTTCTGCTGTCAGGGGCCAAATGGGATGTCTAGTCCCTTCTTCATATGTCAGCCTTTCAAATACTTAAGGATGGATTTGAAAGCCTAAAGCTTTCTGTAGATGAAGTTGTCAACTATCTACATAACCAGCACACATTGCAATTAACTGATAGATAGCAGGTTCAGTTCATTGGTGAATAAAGATTGATCACGTGGGATGTGTTGAACTAAGCCTATCTCCAATGGAAAAGGAATACCATGATTTGAAAACATCTCATCTATTTTATATCAGGTCTTGGAAAGATAGATTAGTCACTTTAACATTATCCATTTAAAAAAATGAATCTTTCAGGAATATTCCTTACTTGACATATCTTTCTGCTGAGGTTAATCAACCTTTTCAAATTTGTTACCAGCTTATAAGTAAGCCAGGGAATTTGCTGATATGAACCAAACCACAGAGGAAGGAAGTAAATTCATTAGAAATAAGTAGAGTTTTCTCATTATTAACACCATTTTTGCTTTCAGGAAGAAAAATGAAGGACATTAGCTCTGAGAATTAAAAGCTTGGTCTTTAGCAATTCGTTATTCATAAATAATACATCATGAATTATTCACCAGTTTCATTTTAATAAAATAGGTAATAAAAGAATAAGGATAGCTGAAATGAGCAGATGTTCCTGGAACTTGTATTTATTTGCTTCAAATTATACATTAAGCCTTTAAATTAACATGGGCCTCCTTAAGTGTAGGAAGAGGAGGCCACCCTCAATATAATACTTAAAGGGCATCACAGAAGTTGTCTGCCCGATATGTGCCACCCATGTGCCACCCATGTTGCCTGGAATTCCCATATTAAAATTACACCTTTGGATTGAAGTATTCGGCTTCCAGAATATCTCCATTAAAATTTCAAATATGTTATCCAGAAAGAATAATGTTTCAAATCAGGACTTTTTTGGTCCTGTGCAGGAAGCTCTCCTTTGAGAAAAATCCCCCCACCAAATTCTGCTCCCCTTGTCCAGTCCTTACCCCCCATTTTCCACCTTTTACTCTGAAAACCTTAATCAAATCAATACTACCATTGCTTCTCAAAACAGTGTGTCAAACGACTCCCTTGTGGCTCAAGTCACCATCCCTGTGAGTTACCAGACCAAAATACACTTCCCCAGCCATCACTCCCTTAAATCATAGGACCTTAGAAGTGAAGTTTAACCCCATCATTTTATAGATGAAAAAACAACTGATGACCAAAGTGGTTAAGTGACTTACCCAGGGTCACGCAGCTAGAAAGTATCTGAAGAAAAGGCACTAAGGAACATGATAATAAATAGGAATGCAGAAGACAAACTTCAATTACCATTTTGCCAAAGCAAGTCCCACCAATAAGCATCTCTTGAAGGTGATACATGACTAAGTGCGTGAGAACTAGCAGATCCAATAATATCTTTCCTCCAATTTTTTCTTATATTTAATTTTTGTCTTACTTTTAATTTCTGCAGATAAAAATTAAAATCAATGTATAGGAAAAAAATTTACTTCACTAAAATATGATGCTAATGTTATTAATATTGCTATTTAGTTATTCTTTCTTTTCAAAAAAAAGAGAAAATGAGGAACATTAAGAGCAGTTATAGCATACAGGTGTGGGCAGCATTTTTTGTGAACAATTCTTAAATGAGCTTTCAATATCAATTTCTCAAGTAAGCAAAAAGAAGCTAAAAGAGAGTAGCCCTTCCAAAACTATTTCAAAAATAAAGTTTAACGGTGAATACCAAAATGCCTACTTTGCTCTTCAAAAATATTCAAAAGCAGTGAGATCCGATAATCACTTTCCTCTACTGTAAAATGAGGATAATAAGAGTACCTACCTCACAGGGTTGTTGTGAGAATCAAATGAGATATTTGTTAAAATTATTTAGCATAGTACCTGGCACATAGTAGACACTACATAAATGCTTACCCTTCCCTTTCTAGATGCTTAGATTCATTTTAATATGAATCAGATATGAAGGTAGGGCACTGAGAAAGGGATGGGAACTGGCCTTGAGATTAGAATTGTAGTGAGGAGACATCACAAAAGTCAAGACTTAACTCATGATATTTTCTCTTTGAAAGAAGAGAAATAGGTTTAGATGTTACAGTTGATGTGAACTAGCTTCAAATATCAATTCTTATTCTAAACAAATCTTAAGAAATGTTAATAGACCATAAAACTGACTTCAAAAAAAGTGACAAACTAAATTCTCTCCCCTCTGCCCATAAAAAGAAACACCCTTTATAAAAGCCTCTGTGTGTGTATATATATTTTTTCTAAATACCCAACTTCCAGTCTAAGAATCACTTGGTTCCAAGTCACAAGGTGCAATTTAGATGTCTCTTTAGAAAGAGAGAAGCTATGAATATAAGTAGTCAAATTTGAATTATTTCTATTCTGAAAATGCAATTTATTTCTAAAAGACCTGGGAATATTATTTTTTGCTATAGGTATGGCAGGTTTTTTGGGGTTTTTTATGGTGGAAATTCTGGAGGTTTTTACATTTTTACAAATGATCCAATATGTCTATGCAGATCATCATTGAAGTCTTTGAGTTTTTTTGTGAATCCTAGATATGCATTTGCCAGTGCTGAGAGAGCTACCATGGGCTACTTTGGGCATCTCTGTTCTGAATGGAAGGATCATAAACCTAAGGTTCCCCCAAACTGGGGAGCTCAAAAGGCTCTAAGAACCAAGGTAACTTTTGGTCACTATAATCATTAAGATCTTTCTTTATGGTGTCATTATAGAAACAACCAATATGATATGTCACGTTTCCTCTGCTAAGCAAAGGAATCAATGTAAGCACATTCAGGACAAGGACTGTATTGTTTCTGTTTTTACATTCTCAGTGCCTTACACATAACAGGTGCCAAAAGGTGTTTGTTGAGTTGAATTGAACTGAATTTAGTCAATAATACTGACTGGTTTGACTAAAATTCAATCAGATAATCCTTGAAGCCATTCTGCAGTCAAGTATTTAGGTCAATCCAAAACAAACAAACAAAAAAAGTATTTAAAAAGTACAAGGCAACATGTTTAGGGTATTGGGGGGGTACAAAAAAAAGGTCAGCTCCTGCCCTCAAAGAGGTTACATTCTACTGGGTCCAGTTTAATATTTATGGAAGAAGAGAAAAATGGTTGTTTTCTGTGAAGGCAGAATATTTTCAGAAATATTTCTACAGGAGTCTTGTAGAAGTACTCAAGTAGTTCCATGTCCTAATACTTTTGTCTCAATTTTTACATTAATAACAAGCCCTTCAAAGTCATTGATTCATAGGCAATACTTTGGCTCCATGTGCATTGATGTAGGTGAGAAGAATCTTGGCCCTCTGTTCTATCACATCAATAAGTTTTTCTATTCCTTGTCGACCTCCTTGGCTTTCCCAATAAACTTTGTCAAGAAACAAGGATTGAAGGAGTTTCTCCCTTAAGTGCTGACTCTTCAGAACTGAAACTGCAGATTCAGGAAACCTGAAAAGACAAAATGGATTATAATCTAGCCAATAGTTCTGCCCATCGTTGATCCACCATAAATCATAGTACCTAATTATCTCTTTAAAAAACAAACCATTTACGTCACTGTCACACTACTAGTATGTCTTTTAACAATGACATATTAGAAAAATGTGATCCAATTTAACTGAGTTTTCATATCTTAATATCTGGGATATATCCATATAGGCAAAGTGAAGAGCAGAATAAAGAATCATTAAAGTTTCTATTGGGTGGGTTGAATACATTTCTTTCTTTCTTTCTTTCTTTCTTTCTTTCTTTCTTTCTTTCTTTCTTTCTTTCTTTCTTTCTTTCTTTTTTTGGCTAGGCAATGGGGTTAAGTGACTTGCCCAGGTCACACAGCAGGTAAGTGTGTTATGTGTCCAAGGCCACATTTGAGCTCAGGTCCTCCTGAATCCAGGCCTGGTGCTCTATCCACTTTGCCACCTAGCTGCCCCAATACATTTCTTTAATCATCTATTTTGCTTTATCTATGGTGATAATGTTCAATTATCAGGAAGGATGAGTGTCTATAGACCAACAGTTAAAAGTAGGGCAGGTTGTTTAACAAGAACTATGTTAACAATTTCAGCACATGTATTTTTCATAGACAGTAGATAAAGAACTAATGTGGGGGCTCTCTACAACTTCCTCCAATCTAAATCAAGTGGGCAGAGAATGGCAGTTTGTTTGCTAGAAGCCTTGAAGCATCTGTCTAGCCACCCTATGTGTGGAGAGGCAGGTAACTTTGTCCTCCTGAAAGAAGGCACAAAAAGGGGTCATTTGAGAGATCTGGGAATGGGAGGAGCAGGGTGTTAAATGTGGAAGTATGTACTTACACGCTGTTTTGAACTCCCTGGAGAAATTTACTATGTAAATGAGTGGCTATGTCATTAAATAAAGATTTCATGCAATGAAGTATTAAAAATCCATGATTTGTGAAGTCTATAGATGTTAAACTAATTTAATTGTAGCAGGAGAGAAGAAACTATTGCAATAAGAGAAGAGAGAGAGGAAGTTAGCCTAAAAACAAATCCAATCTTCCCAAAGAGAGGAAAAATATTTTCTAAATACAAAATAGCATGCATTTCTTAATTCTTCAAAACAAATTGATTAATGAATCTATTCCATACTTAAATCTTGAATTAATTACTTTTCCATTTTGCTTTTCAGTGTACAAGTTGTATATATAATATAATATTATGTATATATATATATATATATATATATATATATTTAAGTTTTCATTTTAAACTCATTCCTCACATATTAAAGTCTAGTTCTAGTAAAAGAGACAGCTGAACTGAAGATGGATGGGGGTTTTTTGTTTGTTTGTTTGTTTGTTTGTTTGTTTTTGCTAGGCAATGGGATTGCCTAGCTGGGTCACACAGCTAGTAAGTGTTATGCATCTGAGGCCGCATTTGAACTCAGGTCCTCCTGAATCCAGGGCCAGTGCTCTATCCACAAGATGGATGGTTCTTAATAATGTCTTCTGGTGACTATTATTTCTAGAGAGCTGGAACTTAAGGAGGCATCTAAAGTGACCTATTTATTATGTAACACACTTTCTAATGGGCATATGCACTAAATGACAGTCTGGGTACCTAAATCTTCCTTCCTACAAAAGGTACACTAAGGAAGAAAATCACTACATGCCAAACCTTCAGCCTCAAGTCCACAAAAAGATATGCAAGATGCAGACATTAATAAAGCAGGCCATGTAGATAATTAATTAAGATGAGACTTTGAAGAATATTATAAACATAGGATTGCCTCAAATTCCAAGTGTTTTCCCCAAAACCCATATTCTCTAGGGGATTATACTTCAAAAGTATCATTTAAATATGCTAGCAGAAGATTGAATAAGAGTGACATTATTGGCTCTTCCTTGTACCACATGTCATGGTGAAAAGAGTACTGGCCTAGGAGTAGTTTTCTTATTGTCTGCCACTTATTAAGCATTTCACTTTGGGCAACTCATTCAACCTTTCTGAGCCTCTGTTTCCTCATCTCTAAAACATGGATAATCATAACCCAGTGCCTGTAGGAATAATTATAAAGAACGAATGTGACATAGTAGATGTTAAAAAAGATTTCTAAAAATATGTATAATATACCTTATATTTCCACAATACTTCATGACTTACATATATATAGTGTGCATATATTATATATTGTAATATATTGTATATTATATTGTGTATTATAATATACAATATATATAATTATATAATATATAATTATACAATATATAAATATATTATATGTGTTTGACATTTATTAACATGTATATAATATATATATAATGTATGTATATATGTGTATATATATACACACACGCCTGTGTGTGTATGTGTGTGTATGTGTGTGTGTGTGTGTGTGTGTGTGTGTGTGTGTGTGTGTGTGTATAACAAGATCGATGGTAATTTTAGGTGGTAGCACCAGTGTCCGGGAGCTAGCCAGACTTGCTCCCAAGAGCTGACTGTTAAATGTTCATAGTGAATATTTACACCTTAGAAATTGACAAATATTCAAATAAGGGCCTGATTTATTATTTTGTTGATTATCTAGACTTAAGAAAGTGATAGAAAGTATATCAATAATGAATATTAAATTTTAAAAAAACATCATGCATATTTTTTTTTCCCAAAGACCTTATCATTAAAAATTTACCAGGCACATCCCTGGATAATGATTTTAGTAGCTTCTTTAGTAATTCAAAAATCTATAATTGTGTCACTGGGAGTACTCCTTCCACCAACATAGATTGCAGCTACTCTGTAACTTATTAGATAGTCTTCAAGAGGTGTTAGAACCAAGCAATTCATTATCCTATATCCATACTAGGGATGAGATTCTCCTAACTTAGCTGGGACTATCATGGTACAATAGCAATGCCTTCTTTCAACAGGCCCACACTTTGTAGACTCTACATGGTCTAAAAGATAAATACTATACATGACCAGAAAAGGTGATGGGCCCATCATACTGCTGGAGATTGAAACTCCACAACATCTCTCATATCTGATCACTTCCCTCTACTCACATAAGTTGAAGCTCTCATCACCCGGACTACCATGATGGCCTCTTAATCGGTCTCCCTGCCCCAAGTCTTCCCCTATTACAAGTCTGTCCTTCACATAGCTGACAAAGAGATGTTCCTTAAACTCAGCTCTAACCACATCACTCACCTACTCAACAAACTCCAATGGTTCCCTATAGCCTCTAGGATAGAATATAAGTTCCCTTATTTAGCTTTTAAAGCCTTTCACAGTCTGCCCTGCCCTGTCTTACCTTTCTATTCCCATTATCCATTACTCTCCTTTACTCTATAGCCCAGAAAAACTGGCCTTCTATCTGTTCCTTACGTGACACTCCAACCCCCACCTCAATGCCTTTGTATTTGACTTATCTCCAATCCTAGAATAGACTTCTTCCTCACCTATACTTCAAAGAAGCCCTCTTTTCTTTTTCTTCAAGACAAAGCTTAGGCACTACCTTCTATAGAAAGCCGTCCTAACAGGTGCTAGTGCCTCCCCTTCCTAATACCTTGAATTTAACTACCTTGTATTTTATGCAAGGTATAAAAAAATACAAGATATTTATTTTCTATTAATTCTGTACATCTATACTAGATATACTTATATATGTCAATGGCACCTTCCCAAACAGAATATAGGATTCCTGAAAGTAGGAATTGCTTCATTCTTTATTTTTGAATCCCCAGTGCTTAAAGTACATTGTAATCACTTAATAAATGCTGACTTGATTTGACATTCAGGATGAGAAGGGATGAAAGGGCTTTCATTTGCATTGGTGAAAGGAGTACTGGCAACAATGAAATCACCAACCTTTGAAAGTGACAATGTGTTAGGAGCCATGAGATGGTAATGGGGATAATTCCCGTGTACCTAGGTTTTGCTCTACTTAGCATTACTTCCATAACTCCAGCTTCCTTCCCTAAGAGACACAAATTATATTTCTGTTAATAGTAGGGCCTAAAGCCTAATTTCTCTCAGCCTTGCTACTTTTCAGCACTGAAAAGAGTATGAGCTCATTATTATTATAATCCAAAAACTTACTCTTTGATTCCTTCTAATAATTTGAAATTTAAATTATCTTCACTTCGGTCAAAGAAACCTTTATTGTCTATAAAGACCAAATGCCTTGGGTCATGCTTTCTTTGAACAATGTGTGTTAGCTCCACAGTGTCTTGGTTGTCACATTTCTGCCTCGCTCCATTCTGACCACAGGCATCCTCCTTCCGAGGTCTGAATCCACAGCAGTTTACATCTAAGCGGTTGTAGATCTGAAAATACAAAGGTTGAAAAAAGTAATAATAAGCCAGGCTACTAAATGTCACCAACATTTATAAATACCAGGAGAGTTTTACAAGGGATCAGGGCTATGCTTTATTAAGAAATGATTAACCAAGATCAAAGAGAACAAAATAATTTAATTCAAGTCAACTGTCAGTGTAAATTCATAATTTGGGACACCATGATTTAGCCATGACTAGCCATATGGTGTAAGTGACAGAGAGCTGGATTTGGAGTCAGGTGAAACCAGAGTTTAAAAACCAACTCTGATCTTAGGCAAAACATTTAAGCTCTATGAGCCTTGCTTTCCTCACTTATACAATTGGGGTAGTAATATCTATAGAGTTGTTTTGAGGCTCTAATGAAATAACATGTGTAAAATATTTTCTGAACTTTAAAAGCCCTCTCTGAGTATTAACTAGCTCTAGCTTAACCTAATATTAACAAGTCCAGATCAATCAGCTCAACTTGGCATCTCTAGCCTTTCCATATAAAATCTCCATTGATATAACACGTAGATAAGTGGCCCGAAGAATCCCTTGCTTCATTTCTGGTACCAAAGGAACTGCAGCTCCTAAAGCATAAAAACTTCAGTATAATTAAAACTTAACAGATAGCAATATCACAATGAATAAAACATCCAACTTGGAACCGAAAAGGCTCGGATTCAAATTCTGCCCCTAATATTTGCTAGCCTTGGGACTATGGGCAAGTAAGTCACCTAACCTCTCCTCATCTGTAGAAAGGGCAGGAGAGGAAAGAGAAAGACTTTTATATTAATTTTTTTAATTAATTTTTGTTTTGGCAAGGCAATTGGGGTCAAGTGACTTGCCTAGGGTCACACAGCTAGTACATGTCAAGTGTCTGGTCTGAGGCTGGATTTGAACTCAGGTCCTCCTGACTCCACAGCCAGTGCTCTATCCACTGTGCCACCTAGCTGCCCCCAGGAAAGAGAAAGACATTGATAATAATACCTGCAGTACCTACTTCGTAAAACTGTTTTGAAGTTTCAAATGAGGTAATATCTATAAAGCATTCTGCAAACTTTAAAGCTTTCTGTAAATGTTATCAATTTTAATGATGATATTCAAAGTTAGGTCCCTCCCAAAGACCAAGTGCAATCTACACATTTTCTCTTTCCTTGGGGAGGAAACACACGAAGAAGACAGACAGCATCTTCCAAACCCAGGAGTGTTCTCCCCATCTGTGGTCCAAACCACTTATACACTGTATTAGTAGTATGACAGGATTGTAGATTCAGAGCTAGAAGCAACTTTAGAGATCACCTAGTTCAGTGCTTTTATTTTACTGATATGCCATGTCTAAGGTCACATCCTCAGTTATGTTCTGAGCACTGTGCTGAGCAGCAGGGATACAAAGAAAGGCAAAAACATTCTTTGCTCTTAAGGAGCTTATAATCTAGTCACAGAGACACATGTGACCCACACAGGCAAGAATGTGGACTTAAACAGACATCTTTTGATTTCAAATCCAACACTCCATTTCCACTGCACCATGCTGCCTTCCTAGTACTGCCAGCTTAAATTTGAAGAGTCCATAACTTTGTCTGGAGAGAACTAGACTATGTGCTGGGCACAGTCAAGGCATAGGTCTGAGTTTCAAGTCCCATTTACATGTGTCATTATGCAGTGCATCAAGACCAAGAATATTAGAACCACTTAAATAAGTTCATGGTCACTCAAAAATCCCCACGGGAGAAACCAAATGGATGAAGAATGTTTATTATCCAGACTGTGCTAGGCAAATGAAAAGGTAGCCTATAGAGATTGTCCATCAGCCTATATATCTTAAAAGGGTACCGAAAACAGGCAATAAATTGGGCTCAAAAGTGAACAAAAGGAGGGAAATTAGTTAAAAGCTTGGGTGGGGGGGGGTTGGCTTGTTTTTAGTGGTACCCTACTATCACTGAAATAAAGGTCTCCTTTTTTTCCTGTCAACATTGTTCCAGAGTGGTAAAGTGGAGACATCAAGGACCTATTTAGCTTACTTGGAAATGTTATCTAAGACTGATCACCATCCTCCCACTTCTGTTGTCTCTCCTTCCTTGCCCCCACCATCCCACCGTCCCTGGCACTGTCTCTTCTACCTAGAATAGGCAGTGAAAGGATAATCCAGTCATAGCGAGCTGGCTCTGTAACAATGCTTAATTAGGAATGATCCATGCGCTTAAAAGAGAAGTAGTACACGGGAGGAATTTGATGCCCTACATGGCTATTTACTTGCACACAGCTTAGAGCAAACTGCTGATGAAAGAAGCAGATGTTCCAAGTGCATTGACCAGCAGTTATAAGAAGAGTCAGAAATTTCATACAAGGGTGGCATTAGTATGGTCAAAAGAACAGAGATATGCCTAAGTGGATAAACAGAAAGCCAGGGACCTGCCTTGAATGTGGGCAAGAGTCCAAGAATCTGTCCCCAAGTTGACAGAAAAGCAAGTCAGTTGCCACAAGGGTCCTGATGATAGAACAATAGTTTGTCCAAAGAGTCACATGTGCTAAACAACTGATACAAAGGTCATATCATATAGGCTTACCCATTATCACTTTAAAGGGAATAGTTAGTCTAATGAGGATAATCGATAAAATATTTTGATAACATCATTGAACCATTTCTATAAAGCCAAGTTTTATTTGCATAAGTAATTTCTTGGCTATAGCTGGGTGAAAAGGAAGCATAATCTAAACAGAACAGGATCTGGAAGCCATTGCCGTAGTTCTGTTAAGTACAGGAAAAAAAAATGAATCCAGAAATCTGGACCTCGTTCAGTACAATTCCTTCTCCCCACACAAGCATTAGCCAAGAAATATTATGGAGTCCCCATGCAATTCACCCATACTATCTTTCTATACATCTCTAGATATAAATTCACTGATGTAGTACAGATGGTCAGACCTGTCTGCAAGCCAACAACTGTATATTGTATATCTCTCAGTACATTTTTATTCATTCTGAGGACAACATCCTACTGTGGCGCCTCCCACCATACCCTGAACACTGGGCTTGCTGTATCAGTGTTGTTGACTAGCGATTATCATAGGCTCATGAAAACACATTTGCATTTGGATTATTTTTACTCTGCACTACAATTGCTAACAAAGATGTGGCTATAAAGAGCTTCACTGGCATTAAATAACAATCACTCTATAGAATATGTCCCCTTTCTCAGTGAATGGGTATTTATTCTACCAATCTATTTTCAAACTACATGAAATCAACTAAAATTGGAGATGGAAACAATCTATTTGGGTTCTCTTTTCTATTCCCTTGACAGCAGTAGGTTGTTTCCTGTTGGTGTATTTTTTAAGTGCTTTGTCCAATCTCGTTCTGAATGACTCAAAAGATGATGCTTCCGCCATTCCTCTTGGCAGGCTGCTGCAGTTGGAGGCCGTCAGACCTCACTATTAAGAAATTTTTTTGTGTGTTGAGCCCAATTTCCCTTGTGCAAAATGTTAACGCAATTACATTCAATTATTCCCATTCACATAACCAGTAGACAGAAAGAGCAAAGATTATTCAAAATAACATTAAGTATATACACATGTATGTATGTGAACATATATATGTATATATGTCTATTGTTATATATTGCTTTTATAAGTGATTATATATGCACATATGTGTGCTAGTAGTCACATATATGCACATGCATATGTACTTATAAAATCAGTAGATATATACTCAAAGAGATTGATATATATAAATATATTTATAGACATATAAATCTAGACAAAAGAGGCTTTAAATTTCTTGTTTCAAGTCTTGCCTCTGATACTTATTAGTTGTGTGAGTGTGATTGAAACATTATGTCTCAGTTCCCTGAGGCAATTCTCTAAAACTAAATGTTACAGATGAGTGACCCATTTGCGATGGAGGAGAGAAATTCTATACTGGCTATATTCTATACCAATAAAATCACAGGTCAGACACCCACCCACCCACACTCCCCAAAAAAGATAGCTCTTTATACATATTTGGGGTTCCTTTGGAACAATCCCTGCTCTTCTTTATTATACTCTTCAAGAAATGATAAATAAAGCCTCCGTGCCATTGCCATCATCTAGACAATTAATAACCAGTGCATCCAGTCGTTCTCTCCAATCCATTGTCTTTAGACTGTAAGATTTTTTTTTTCTCCCAGCACTTCTCGGAAATTCATCTAGATCTTTCTATTTCCATTCATAGTCAGACTAAAAATAATTCACCCTCGTCCCTCTAATCCACTTCTTAAAGTTTAGTGCCTCTCTGGCTGCCAGTTAGTGGAAGAACATTCTGTAGAAACTTCTGCTTATTTTTTTAAGGGCGAGCACAGCTTTGTAAACTCAAATAGGCCAACTCTCACTGATGCAGAAGTAGACTGCTCATGTTGAAACACTCCCATTTTTGACTGGTACATTCCTAAGCGCTGTAGTTCATGTCTGCATTTCTGTTGTGGTGGTAGTTAGGTAGTCATCCCCAAAGGAAGTGGTGTTTAGGGAAAGTTCTAAATTTTTTTTTTTAATGAAACAGCTTCAAACTGACTACTAAACTTCAGAAAGGATCATGATATAGCATGATGAAATTCCTGTCTTCTCATCTCTTTCTTGAATAAAAAGGTACATTTTTGCCCACTGTAATTTGCTATATTTATCCATTTCTCATCATTTAAGAAAAGTGTGTTTTAAGCATTTTGCTAACTAAAATTACCTCAAGAATCCAGGTGTTTCTGCCAAATTTTCTGTTCATGGGGATATTTTTAGACAGATTTACTTCGACCAAGGTATTTTTTCCCTCTTTCCTTTTTGGTACCATTTCTTTTACGGCTCAGCAAGAAAACTTTCCCAGTTGGTTATTTAAGTTAGGCCTACAGAATAAAAATAGAATGACCCAAACTTCATTCTGTCCTTTTAAAAGTTCCACAAATATCTGAAAGAGACCACCTTATGTTCTAGCCCTAACTGCTATGCCCCACATACACCCTGTTCCTTTCCTG